GCGTGGATTTCCTCCGGGTGCTCCAGTTTCCTCCCACAGTCCAAAGACGTGCAGGGTAGGTGGATTGGCCATGCTAAATTTCCCATAGTGCCCAAGGATGTTTAGGTTTGCCGGGTTAGACTTAAGGGAATGGGTCTGGGAGGGATGCTCTTCGGAGGGGCGGTGTGGACTTGGTGGGCTGAATAGCATGTTTCCACATTGTAGGGATTCTATGATGAAGTTGGTGAGGATTCTTATGAACATGCCAAATTTCCTAAACTGCCTGAGGAAGAAGAGGTGTTGTTGTGCCTTCTTGACCATCGCATCTACATGGAAAGTCCAGGACAGACTGATGATTATCATCACTCCTAGGAACTTGACACTCTCAACCCATTCCACCTCACCTCCGTTGATGTAGACAGGGTTTGTCTTCCTCCTTTCTTCCTGAAGGCATTGATCAGTTCTTTTGTTTTGCCAACATTGAGAGAGAGAGAGAGATGGTCATCATTGCACCACGACACAAAGCACTTTCTCCTTCCTGTATTCTGACTCATCATTGTTTGATATCTGGACTACAGCGGTGGCGTCGTCAACAAACTTGTAGATGGGGTTCATATGGAATTTGGCTACACGGTCATGGGTGTACAGGGAGTATAGCAGAAAGCTAGGGAAAAGATTGCTGGACCCTTGCTGAGATATTTGTATCATCGACAGCCATAGGTGAGGTGCTAGAAGACTGGAGGTTGGCTAACATGGTGCCATTATTTAAGAAAGGCTGTAAGGAAAAGCCAGGTAATTATAGACCAGTAAACTTTACTTCAGTGGTGGTAAGTTGTTGGAGGGGATTCTGAGGGACAGGATTTACATACATTTAGGAAGGCAAAGACTAATTAGGTCAGTTAACATGGCTTTGTGTGTGGGAAATCATGTCTTACCATAAGTTTTTTGAAGTGACAAAGAAGATTGATGAAGGGAGAGCTGTAGATGCTGTCCATATAGACTACAGCAAAGCATTCAACAAGGTTCTGCATGGTAGACTCGTTAGTAGGGTTAGATCACAAGGGGTCCGGGGGAGCTAGCCAATTGGATACAAAATTGGCTTGAGGGTAGGAGATAGAGGATGGTGGTTGTAGAGGGTTGCCTTTCAGACTGGAGGCCTGTGACCAGCAATGTGCCACAAGGATCAATGCTGAGTCCACTACTTTTCATCATTTGTATAAATGATTTGGATTGGAATATAGGAGGCATGGTTAGGAAGTTTGCAGATGACACCAAAACAGGCGGTGTAGCAGACATTGAAGACAATTATCTCAGAGTACAACGGTACTTCAGCCAATGGGCCAAGGAGTGGCAGCTGGAGTTTAATTTAGATAAATATGGTGTGTTGCATTTTGGTAAAGCAAACCAGGACAGGACTTCTACAATTAATAGTAGGGCCTTGGGGAGTGTTCCCAAACAAAGATACCTACAGTGCAGGTGCATAGTTCCTTAAAAATAGAGTCACAGGTTGACAGGGTAGTAAAGAAGGCGTTTGGCACACTTGCCTTCATTAATCAGAACACTGAGTATAGGAGTTGGGATGTCATGTTGCGGCTTTACAGGACATCGGTAAGGTCACTTTTAGACTAGTGCGTACAATTCTGGTCACCATTCTGAAGCAAGGATGCTGTTAAACTTGAGAGGGTGAAGAAAAAAATTACAAAGATGCTGCCGCAACTGAAGGGTTTGAGTTACAGGGAGAGGCTGAATAGGTTGGGGATTTTTTTTTTCCCTGGACTGAAAACTGAGGGGTTTATAAAATCATGCAGGCACAAATCAGGTGAATAGCCAAGTTCTTTTTCTGAGGTGGGATAGTCCAAAACTAGAGGCCATGGGTTTAAGGTGAAAGGGGAAAGATTTAAAAAGGACCTGAGGGGCAAATTTTTCATGCAGAGGGTAGTACATATATGGAACGAGCTGCCAGAGGAGGTGGTGGAGACGAGTACAATTACATTTAAAAGGCATCTGGATGTGTACCTGCATAGGAAGGGTTTAGAGTGATATGAGCCAAGTGCTGGCAAATGGGACTAGGTCAGATTGGGATGTCTGGTTAGCACAGACAAGTTGGAGCGAAGGGTCTGTTTCCACACTGAATGACTCCAGGACTCGAGGTTAATTATCGTTCTACAATGCTTCAGCACCAGGATGTTTTATGTTCAAGGACTAATAGCTGGTCAAATGTTGCATTGGTCAATTAAGGGGGAACCAGTGCTGGCCAGCCAATCACACAGAATGTTAAAAAAGAGAAAACAAACAGTGAACTGGTTCTGACCGAGTTTTGGACAAGAGGCAGTTTTTACTTTGGAAACTGCTGGATTAGACCATTTTCTTAATGGATTTGCTGTCTCTAATTTTTCTCAGTTATCGACGTGTTGTAAGTTCTAGAAAACAACCCTAATCTGTAACAAATAAATTAAAAACTCTAGAGGTCTGCAAAAACTGTTTGCATTGACTAGTGGTTTAGAAATTCAAGCAAGATATACATTCCTACGTGCCTGGAATACAAATCATCATCCAAGGATTTAATGAGGCATGCCATTAACTGTTTCAACAATGATCAACTGGTAAACAGTTTTTTTTAATCCCTTAATTGTCAGTGTAAGAGTGAGCATTTGTCACCAAAGAAGATTGGTCTTTGATCATGAATATTAATTAGAATGCCCTGTTGTTCATCCATGTTCTGCTAAAGTTACATCCTTAATAATATTGAGACCATCAATGCTTTTACTCTTTTTTTCTCATTTTTGGTTTGGAATTGTGAGCTGAAGTTGAGAATCGAATTTTGAAAAGCAGATTATTTTGAAAGAAGAGAGAGGACAAACAAACTGATGTTTGCATATGGGAACTTGCCTGAAAAGATAAGTGCAGGTTAATTATTGTTCTAAGAACACTGCAGACGTTTCAGCACCAGCTCAAGGACTGGTAGCTGGTTGGATGTTATTTTGATCAATCAAGGGGAGGCTGGTGCTGGCCAGCCAAACACAGAATATGAACAAAGAAAAAGAAACCATAGATCAAAACGAGTTTTGACCTTTTTTTAGCAGATGGCTGTGTGTTGAAAGCTGCTGAACTGGAAAGCTGTGTTGGAGTTGACTCTTTCTCTAGTTTTATAAACAATTGTTGAGTGCTTTGAAAAAAATAATCCCAGTTTATAAGAAATAAGTGAATATTCCTTGGAGCCTGCTGGAAGCTGCTTGCTTTGACTGATGACTTCAGAATTCATGCAAGATACAATCTGATGTGTATGGAATACAAGGCATCCATCAAGGGTTTTCAGAAAGGCTTGGTACTCATTGTTGAAATGGTTATTGAACTAGCCAATACAACTCTTGTTATCTTTTTTAAATTATCTCTGAACTGTGTCTGTCTGTCAGTGCAAGGGTTACAATTAAAGACTACTGGGTTTAAATCAGATCTTAATTAATTACCTTATTATTTACCTTTGCTCTGTTAGTTATAGTAATAAAAATAAATTGTCAATTTCTGCTTAAGTTACAACCTTGCTGTCTGATATCTGTTATTTCTTAAAGTCTGGTTAGGAACAACTCGGCAATTTTGAGAATCATTAAATGTTTTAAGTTCATTGTGTTGCAAATCCAGTGATAGTGAGGCTGATTTTATTTGCTATCCCCATAAGGCATCAAGATCAATGAATTAGATGAAAGGACAGTGCAAAGTATCCAAGAATCTAGACAAAGTAAGTGAGTTGGCAAGAACATGCAAGAAGAAACAAGTTTTTTTTTTCCTTCTTTTACCCCCAGAGAGATATAAATACTCACTGAACATATTCAAGGTAAATATTTGACAGATTTTTGCATTCTAAGCTAATTATGGGATATGATGGTCATCAAGGAAGAAAAGGTAGAAAATCAGTCATAATTCAATTGAGTAGCAGAATAGGCCTAAAGGGAGGCATTCTTACTCCTATTTCTTATGTTTTTAAGATGACTTATTTCCATTCTGACAATGTTTGGTTATGACAGAGCTGTCTTGGATTTGTACCTCCCATCATTCACCCATCTCCATTCCCTTGACACCCTAAGTTAACTAAAAGAGAAAACTTGTATTGACTCAATCCAGTAATTATTTAAGACGCTACATACGCAGTAGTTATTTAATCATGGAGTCATTTATGACAAATGTCACGCAGCTTGTCAAGTCTATTACAGCGCTCCATGGAGCAATCCAATGAGTCTCATTCCCTTAGCCAGATCCTTGCAAACCCTACAAGCTTAGCTCCGTCAAACATCCACCCAACTACCTTCGGAAATCATTAAATACTTCCATTCCCACTACCCTAGTGGACGAAGAGTTTAAAGACATTTCCACTCAGCTGTATTAATCTGCACGATACTCAACAAGATTCAAGTTCTTTCAACAATTCCGTGTAAAATGCCATCCACACCCCCGCAACAAGTTGAGCCATGGAACTGTGACCAAGAAAGAAAAACGCGAGTCAACAGATCCTGAACTTCAGGAGTGTCTTTTTTAAAATGGGTACAAAATCCAAACTCATGATGTCATAGGCATTGACCTCAGCACCGCGCGGTACCCGCCTCTCGGTGACATCAGCGCGTTCCTTTCCGAGCCACGAGCCATCCAATTTGCCTCCCCATTGGTTCACTCTGCTGTCAATCACGCTGCCTCCTGCCCCTTGCCAGGTTTGGTTGAGCGCTGCCTTTTTCTCCCGCCTCCCCCACCTCCCCGCAAAGTGGGCAACCATCCACAGCCATTGATTAATCTACATTCTGTATCAAATAAAATATCCGCGAACACTTTCAAGTAATCAACTGAAGCTTCCAACAACGGGCGGGGGGGTGGAAATAGAGGACAAGTCTGCAATAGCTCAGTTTTGTTTCTAAAAAGACAATTCTTAATTTTACCCAAAAAAAATTCCGTTAAATGGCAGCCGCTGGCGAGCTTGTTCTCTCAGCGAGCCATTTTTTTTTGTTTGCCGCCTTGGCTTAGTGCAGCTCACTTACCTCTGCGAAAATAAATTGATGATCGCTATATAAATCCTCCCCACTGTTTCTTTATGTTTTCTTGGGGAAAAAAAAACAAATCTTCCGTGCCGAGTAACGTGGGGTTTCCGTAGGCGTCAGTCGTTGTCGCTGCTTTTGGCTGCTGCTGCCGCCGACCGCGTTGCAGATTTCACTAGTCAGAAGCGAGGAAGAAGTTGTTTACTGATGTTGGGAATATATTTTTTGGGGAGTCTCGCTCGTCTCTTTGCCTTGACCACCATGTTGCAGGAAATGACATGTAAAAGTTGAAGCGGAAGAAAGGAGACGAGACCCTCAGACAACCTCTGATCGGCGCAAACCACATAAAAAGTTTGGCGGCAGGCTAGTCAAAGGAGACGGGCTACCTGCAGGGGAGAAAGTGGAGTTTGTTTACCCGATAGATGACCTAGAAGTTAATTAGAGTCTGTTCAAAAATATTTTTCCCCGCATTTGATTTAGAATAGATGTGAAATATGGGAAAATTAAGTTTTCATTTTAAAAGTATTTTAGGAGGTAATCTGTCCTGTTTTAAAATTACCCGGTGTGATTTCTTTTTGTCGGTGTTTGGTGATCTGTTTTAATGTGTGAACAGGGGGTGAGTTGTCTTCGGGACTGCTATGTGAAACGCGGAGGGAGCAGGTGCAGACTTCAATCCCGGGCTGCGGCAACCTCCCCAGCACAGAGAGAGAAAGAGAAACCCACCCGGGAGATCTTCGCCTTCTCTCCCAACGGCCACGCGCTGTCACCCTTCCCGCCCCCTCCCAACGGCCACGCGCTGTCACCCTTCTCGCCCTCTCCCAACAGTCATACCCCTCCGCACCAACAGCACGCCCCCCCCCGCCGAAGGTTACAACCTCATCCCGCATCGCCTTCCTTTTCTGAATATCATGGGTTCATGACCATCTTCCCCCACGATGAATCACGCTTCACCCTCTTCCCTCCCCCCCGCAAGTGTCAATGGTCACTGACTAATGCACCCAACCTCCTACCTGCCAACACTTGGCTATTCACGCACCCCGCCCAACATCTCCCACTCCACGTGCTGGTGATGTTGGCGGGCTAGTATCCCTCATCCTGCTACTTTCACCATGTACTGCTCATAGTCCCCCTGTCACTGTTTAGCATTGCTAATGGTTGCCGTTATCACGCCCACCTCCCGCCTTGGGGGCAGCTAACGATTGTTGTTAACCCCTCCGCCACGTGCTGCTAGGGGTCGCAGTTAGCCTGTGGCCCTGTGCTGCGAATGCTTCCAGGCTGCTACCACCGTGCTGAGTCAATCTGGCACCTTCAAATCAATGTGACTGCTCCTGCTTTGGACTGTTAACAGTTGTACTGCTCACGGTCGCAGGCTCCCATTTTCTGTACATTCCACTGATGGTCATCCTCATGGGCACGTAAATACACCTTACTCATGTATGCGTATATACAAGTTAATGGCTAGTTTTTTTTATGACTAACCTTTTGCTTTTTACTTGTGGATGGATTGTGAATTTGACCTATAGTTAGGAATTACAAAAAATTAAATCCTAAAACATCTGGCAATGAACTTTGTGTACACAACGTAACTGATTTTTTTTTCATTTCTGCTCAGTTGGGGGATGTGGGTTATAGGATGTGTGCTGGTGCCTTTTGACTTCCTTTTGTTGCTGCATTGTGAAACAAGATAGCCAGGTTGGTATTGTAATGGGAAGTGGGAAACTAGGCCAGGAAAGTAAACAATTTGGCATCTGGTGTTTTTGTACAAAATATCTCATATCTGGGAGTCTTATTCATAAACTTACGCCACAGAGAACCACAGCAAGGGCTGTGTGGATACCAAGAATTCAGTAAATGTCTTGAGCTTTCCTTAAAGTGCAAAGTGAGTCAGGATTGAAAATATTGTTGAAGGTTAGGTCTATATACTGAGAAATGTAAGGTAATCACAAACTCATCTCTACCCAGTAAACCTATTATTTCCCAGTAACCTCGGTTGTTGCTCTGCTACATGGGAACACTACCACCTACAAGTTCCCCTCAAAGCCACTCTCCATCCTAGCTTGGAAATATATTGCCAGTTCTTCTTATCACTGGGTCAAAATCCTGGAATTCCTTCTCTAAGGGTATTGTGGATCTACCTACATCATGTGGACTGCAGCAGTTCCGAAAGGTAGCTCACCACAACCTTGTGATGGGCAACAAAATGCTGGTCAGCTAGTGATGTCTAAGTGAACAAAAAAAAAATGCTCAACATCACTCCCTAAATCCGCAGGACACAGATTTGGACTTTTTCGGTGGACAATTAGTATAGACATTTTATAGCCAAATCTGGCTGTGCTACAAAGTACTTTTGCAACTTGCTGTTCCCTGCCAACACTGCTCGTTATTCCAGCTTTGTCTGGAAATGTGAAAATTAAGAAACCCCTGGCCTCTTTGTATTACAAACTGTCTCTTAACTCCTCTCCCCTCTCCTCCATCCTCAGCTATAACAAGTGCAGGAGACATGGACTTTTTTCATGTCACAACTGGAAGTTCAGCTGCTTCCCTCTGTCCTCCTATGCCACCAATCAAAACTCCTGTTTTCCAACCCCATCTGCAAAAAGCACTTGGTTCTTTATCTGGTTTCCCACCTATGTCTTTATTCACTGTCAGCTTACATTGCTGACAAGATGCACACCTTGCTCCCTCATTCTGTTCCCTGATCAATGTAATATCTCCCAAGTTTATAAACAACACAAAGTTGGGTGGAAGGGTGAACTGTGAGGAGGCTGCACAGATGCTTCAGTGTAATTTGCACAAGTTGATTGACTGTGCAAATGCATGACAGATGAAATTTAGTATGGATAAGTGAGAGGTTATCCACTTTGGTAGCAAAAACAGGAAGGCAGTTTATTATCTGAATGGTGATAGATTAATAAAGGGATACATGCAACCATTGCTGAAAGTAAGCACACAAGTGCAGCAGATGGTGAGGAAGGCAATGGTATGTTGGCCTTCATAGTGAAGATGATTTGCATTTAAGAGTAGGATGTCTTATTGCAATTGCACAGGGGCTTGGTGAGACCACACCTGGAATATTGCGTAAATGGTGGGTTGAGTTTAATGACAGTTTAAGTCAAGACAAAACACACAAATACAACAGAAAGATACAGTAACTGCTAGAAACTCATTTCCTACCAATAACTCCATCCTGTTTTGAACAACTGACTGAGGCGTAATGAGATTGCTCAGCACCTTGCAGTCATATTAGGTGCTGAGTCAAGCTTTTGATCATAATATGTTCCATTATCCAACTTGGCTCTGCCTCAGCTCATCTGCTGCTGAAACTCATGCATGCCATTGTTACTTCTAGAGTTGACTATTTCAGTGCATTGCTGGCAAGCCTTGGCATCATTCACTCTATAAAAACTTGAACTTATCCAAAACTCTGTTTTCCATTTCCTAAAAGTGCCAAGTCCCATTCACTTCTCACCTTGTACTATATTGTTTCCTGGTCCTGGAAAGCCATTTTTAAAAAAATGCCTCAAGAGCATCCCTCTGTAATCTTCTCCAGTATTCTCAATTTTCTGTCACTCTACCAAGAGCAGCTGTGCTTTTAACTACCAAAGCCCCTGACACTGGAATTAACTCCCTTTACCTCCCTGCCTGTCTATTTCTTCTTCCTCCTTTAAGACATTGCTTACACCAAGCTTCGGGTCATCTCTCCTGTTATCTCCTTATTTGGTTTGATTTTACTTGATAATCAGTCTGAAAGACCTTACTATATTAAATGTGCTATATAAATTAAAGTTGTTCTGGTAATTGAGTTTCTACAAAAGACTGTTGTTTAAAGAGATTGCAAGTCAGAAATTTATTGAATACAATAAGTAGATTATGTTGCAACCATATTTGTCAGATTTGAGTTGTTCTTTAGCCTTCTGCTTTACCTACAGAACTTTTAATATCATAGGCTTCCACCTTTTGCCCCCATCATCCAAATAGTAATGAACTTGCACTCTCTGTTCTGTTCCCACACTGCAATTCCTCACCAGCCTTGGCTTCACAGTCATTATCTTTCCCACTTCTACCTATCACAGTCTACCGCTGACTTAATTGAATTGATTTGAATGATTTATTGTCACTTGTATTTAACAAATAAATACAGAGAAAATTTAATATGTCACCGTGCTCCGGCACCATTTTAACCTACAGAAGATATTAAGATATAAGAATGAAAATAAGGTATAAGACTTAAATATAAGTAAAAACAGAGTTCATCTTCATCCCTTCTTGTGCTCCACTCGACATTGGTAGGGGAAGGAGGGATCTCCACAATAGGCTCATCAACACCCCCACATCACAGTCCATTCCAGGAATACCTATTCAGGCCTGCCACATTGCCGCAGTTGAAGCCCAACATCTCCGATTCCAATGCTGAATCTTAGTACTTTGTTACTGTTCCTATTTTTATTCATTCTTCGTGCATCCTCGGTCATAGGCACCCAGTCAACACCTCTTGCACTCCTGTTGCTGCCTTCAATCTGAAAATTCAATCCCTTCTCACTTTTAATGTTTCTTGAACACTCTGAAAGTTGTTTCCTCTGAGTTCCCAGCCATTGTCACACACAATCTCAAGTCATGATCTTGTAGTTACTTTTCATTATGGGTAACTGCATTGTGACTTGTGTCTAATTGGTCACAATTTGAATCTAGGAAAAGGAGCTACAAGGTATAACTGGCCTTTTGCCTATCTTGGGTTGAAATGCCACTCTGTGGCTTGTACACAAAATTTTAATTGACATTTCACAGTGTAAAAAGAGTATTGCATTGTTGAAGGCATTTGGTTTTGGATAAAACATTCAATGAGGCTCTATTTGTCTATCTACTTGGGGGAAATTACGCAAAGACTGCAAATTGTGTACCTGGACACAATAATTTCCTTCAATAATACCATCAAAAAGTGATTATTCATCTTAGTTAATAGTTGTTGGAAATATTACTATCCCTATTAGTGGGCAGATGGTGGTTTAGTGGTACAGGAATGTCAACAAATGAGCAATCCAGAGACCCATGCCAGTGCTCTGGGGATATGTGTCCCCGTTTCCCCACATGGCCAACAGTGGAATTTGAATTCAGCAAAAGTCTGGAATAAAGTTTGCCCAATGATGACCTTGTGACCACTGTCAACTGTTGTAAGTATCCATCTGGTTCACTAATGTCCTGGACGGAAGGGAATCTGCTATCCTTACCTGGTCTGCCTTGCATGTGACTCCAGAACCATTTCACTGAGCAATTGAGTTCATTCTGGGATGGGAGGATAAACCAGTAAAATTTGGAAATTATAGTACTTGTCTGAACTGGAGTTCTGCATTAAGATATTCATTTCCAAATTTTACTGTTTTTTCCTTCTGTAGGTGATGCGCTAGGGGTATTAAGGAAAGTTTCCATTAACTTGTCAGGTATGAGGACCAGGAGAAAATAGCAGAGTGGAATAATAAGCTGTTCAGATAACTGGGAGAGACAGCACCAGGGCAGGAAACAGTAAGTTATTATGCAGGTTTGGACTAAGAGAGAAAGTAATAGAATCTGTATTAGGGTTACCATGCATGTATGTGAATGTGGAGAGTTTGGTAAGTAAGATTGGGAGTAGATTGCCTATTGGAAATATGGTGATGTGGCTATAAAAGAGAACTGGCTCAAAAAAGGGTACATATTAATTATTCCTGGATACATGCTATTCAGGAGAGATAGGAAAAAATGAAGAGGGAGCTGGCAGTTTTTACGGTGTTCCAGATGGGTCAAGGATAAAATCTACATGACTATAGAATTGAGGAACAAAAAAAGAACATTTACAGTGCTCAGTACAGTCTATGAGGCACAATCTAGGGGAAATATTGTAAACGAATAAATCTGAAAGGAATTTAGAAGTACGAGAATTACGGAGTAATGATAATGGGAAAATTT